CTGGTATAAATGGTGGAGCCACCTTGGACCCTCCTCAGTTTCTTTTTACAGGACAGGCTCTGATATAGAAGGGAAGGAGGGGTGGGCCATGGAATGGACATGTGCAAAACATCTCAAAGAAAAGTTACAGAACAGATTAGTAACCTTTTTTTCTTCAAGTGGCTGCACACATCCATTCCACTTCAGGTGACCCACAAGCAGTTCAAACAGGAGTTGGGTTTCTAAGTCTACCTGAACAGTGACTGTAGAACAACATGTCCAAACTTCGCATCATCTCTAGAATGCTGAAACATAGCATGATGAGTTGAAAAGGAATGCACCAATGACCAAGTTGCAGCTCTACAAATGTCTGTTGTAAACATGTGGGCCAAAAAAGATGCAGAAGCTACTTGACATCTTGTAGCATGCGCTATAACCTAGTCAGAGGGGGTTTCTTGGCAATGTCATAGCACAGATGTGTGCAGGATAAAATCCAGGACAAATGCTCTACATCGAGACTGGAAGGCCTTTCATCCTGTTGACAACTGAAATGCACAGCTGGGATAATGATCTAAATGGCCTACTTCTGTTCAAGTAAAAGGCCAAAGCCCTTCAAACATCCAAGTTATGGGGAGTCTCTCCTTATCATTATGAGAATGGGGCTTAAGAAAGTCATATACTTACTGATATTCTTTCTTGAGGTGGAATTCCAGAACTACTTTAGATGGGAATATAGGATGTGGATGTTAAGGATTGCCATTAGAAAAAATCATGTCAGGACGGTCAGCTACAAAGGCCTATTACTCCTCCACCCTTTTCATGGATATAATAGCTACCAAAAATGTTACTTGCATGAACAGGTGCAGAAAGGGAGGTAGCTGTTGGCTCAAAAAACGAACTCATCAACACTACAAGCATAAGATTCAAGTCCCAGGGAGGAAGGGGATCCATGACATGGGGATATAACCTATCCAGACCTACCTAGACTCTGACTACAGATCACAGGAGTAAGAAGGAACTAAGGGGATCCAGGCTGGTTCCTCCCTTGACAGCACTGTGCAGAAGCACAAGACTGGTGAGGGCGCTCAAGCTCCAATATGTATCGCTTAAGCCATGTGTACACTACAAAATTAAGTCAACCTAACTTACGTTGGCATACAGACGCCACAGTAATTATACCGCTTGCGCGTGTCTACACTTTGTGCTCCTTGTGTCAGCAGTTTGTATCCTCACCAGGAGCACTTGTATCGATTGTACTGTTAGTGTGGGGCATAGTTGGATCACTCCTGAAAGCCAGTAAGAGTTGATGTAAGCAATGCAGTGTCTACACTGACACTGCGCTGACCTAACTACATTGACCTTGACTCTGCACCACTTGTGGCGATGGAGTTATAAAGTCGTTGTAATGGGGAAGTGTGACAGTCTGTATCCCCATGTTCACCCTTTTTACAAAATAATAATGATTTTGTACAAAATTTGCCTTCTGAGGTATCATTTGAAAACTCCTAATTTGCTGATCATTATTGTTCTGGTAAGATGTGTGTGGCAACATTGTATTCATTGTAAATTAAGATTCTACTGTATGACTTTACTGAGACATGCTCCAAGTTTAGAAAAGTACACACAAACCAGTTCCTCAGAGACAAAAAGCAAACTGATGCCTCAGTCAGGTATCAACAAAATCAAATGGACTATCACCTGTTAAGTGGCCATTCTTTAGCAGGAAAAAGAGTGTGAGTGAGAAATTTACATTTTGTCAAAGAAACAGCTGGAGATTCTTGGCCCCACAGATGTTCTGTCTCCTGAACCTCAGCTGGAGATGATTTTCAAAAAAGAGAGAACTATAAGTAACGGGAACTGATTCCCCAGATTACTCTCTCCCTCCATCTCTACTCATGGCATCAGCAACACCTGAAGGATAAGGAAATCAACACTGAACTTCGGAAGGGGTCCTGGCTGAAAGGCATCCAGATTGCTATAAGCATGTGGTGAGAGAAACCTTTGCTAGAATGCATTTAGCATTAGTTGCATTTTACCTTTTATTTCTTTGTAACCAGTTCTGACTTTTATGCCTCGTTACTTGTAACCACTTAAAATCTATCTTTCCATAGTTAATAAACTTGTTTTATCTAAACAAGTGTGTGTTTGGATTGAAGTGTTTGGGAAACTTCATTTGGGGTAACAAGATTTGTACATATCATTTTCTATTCATGATATGACAGAGTTTATATGAGCTTGTGTTGTCCAGGAGGGTGCTTGGCAGTACAAGACGGACATTTCTGGGGGAAAGTCTGGGAACGGGAATTGCTGGTGTTGCCCGCAATGTAATTCATGGGTGGGTGGCTATAGCACTCATACAATATAGCTGGGAGCAATTTACATGCTGGAGGCTGTGTGAGAGCAGACCAGTAGTGGTTACTCTCACTGCAAAGCAGTGTAAGAGGTATCCCAAGCTGAGGGGTCACAGTTGTCCAGCTGTCCAGATTGTACCTTAAGTAATGTCACAGGGAGTTACATCAATGGGAGTGAAATTTCAAGTGTAGACACTTTCATAGTTAGGTCAATGTAAGCTGCCTTGCATCAACCTAACTCTGTAGTGCAGACCAGACCTTAGGGATGATTTTCCAACTGTGGTTGTGCACACACCTGAAGTAGAATGGGGACATGTGCAATCACTTGAACTACTTGTCCAGCTCTCTTAACTTTTTTCTTTACAAAAATTCTCATCTGGCAACCGACTACAGCTTCACTTTTTCTTGTAAACATTACTTTTTCTGACAGGTGGGAAAGGAGGAGCAAAGCTTCTAATCAAAAGCTTGTCAAAATCTTAGTACAAATTAGCTTTGTATCAAAAAACCCCAATAAAGTTAACTGTAAACACTTACAATACTTTGAAAGCAACAATACCAAATGCACTAGGTGCAATAAACTCCATATTTAAATCTTCTAGTAGTTAAGGCTATTAATTCAAAGAAATTGTTTTGGGATCACTAAGGTGTTTTATAAAATAAAATTCATGATTTTATAGCACTGCTAAAGCATGCTAAAGTGAAAAAGCACGTTATTAATAAATTCATAAAATAACTGTTCACTGAATTTTTCCAAGGAAGTTCAAATTGTATTGTCTTTAAGAAGAGACACACCTAAATTGTATTATTGTTAATAATGTTGTAGTCTTGCTTACTATTATCATTTAGCAGATACCCCCAGTCTGGCAATATAAAATCAGGACTATTAGTTTTATAACACATCAAAAAATAGTTGCATCACTATCATCATTTTAATCTTACCTCAAGCACTGGTCCGGCTCCAAGAATAATCTGTTCTACTCCACTAACAAATCCCTTCTGGCTGAGAGCAGTGAGGTGATGAATCAGAAAGTTTGTACTCTGTGTTTTCCCTGACCCACTTTCTCCTGAAATCACGATGCACTGGTTCTTCCTGCGCTGAAGCATAGCATGGTAGGCCACATCAGCCACAGCATAAATATGGGGCTCCAACTTTCCCAGCTGATGATTATCATACATTTTAACATACTTAGGATTGTAAATGGGGAGAAATTTGAATGGATTAATGACTATCAGAATGCTGCCTACATAGGTATAAATTTTTTCCTGCTTAAAGCGGTTTCTGAGATTTTCCAAGAGTGTTTTCTCATTTAAATCTGGTAAACTGCACAAATCATCATAGTCCTTCTGCTGCGGCTGAGGAAGGAATCCACGTTCCATCATCCTGCGACGCTCTTCTGTCACCTGTAACCAGGACTGTAGACTGCCATAATGAATAGACCCATCTAGATTCTTCTCCCTCAGAAGGAAGCGATAGTCTTCCCCACTCAGTCGGTTCTCCAGGGCCATGCGGGGCCACAACATCATGCGTTGGACAGGGCAGTCTGTAGGGTTGAGAATCCATTCCTCCCCACCAAACTCCTTCACCTCTGCTAGGACATAACATTTTGTTTTGTCTAGTTGGAGTTTATTAATGAGAGAGTCTATTACCTCAGCAGCTGTTGATGTTTTTCTGGCGGTAATAGGGCAATAGATGGTTCCTTCAGCAATGCTCCCAGGATATACGTGTAGTGTAAACTCACTGTCCTCAAAGCGTCGTCTTCCTCCAACATCATTTACATTCATATTGAACCCCTTCCCATCAGTACCTGCAGTACATCTTTAGAACGGTCCAGTATGCCGTCATGACATCAACACTACAAAAATCAAGACAGAAATATTTTAGACTCAGCGTTTTCTTTTAGTAACAGGTATTTTAAAAATATTTACGCATACCGTATGAAAAGGTAAAACAATCTAACAGCTAACTACCACCCTCAATCATATTAAGATTCTACAAAAGGTAAATGATTATTCCGAAGTTGGACAATTGGAAAGAAAGTTGTTTTAAATATCATGATGCTTTCAAGAAAACTGCAGCCAGAAGACCTTTTCTGTGCTAACGGTAACAATTTCAGACTCCATTCTAATCTGATAAACTCAGGGATCGATCACTTCAGACTTTTGCAGTAATTACCAGGTATCAGGGATTTGAAATTAGATCTCTAGTTTTAAATTAATGCATTTTATTATTGCTACAGTCAGTGAAGAAAGTAGTGTATTTTGAGTGGTATAGCTACTGAACGGACCTGAGCAACTGTGGTGCTCTCATGCCCAAAACAACTCATTCTATAAAACAGTTTAATTTGTACAGATTAATTCGCTTTTGAGAGTTCGTACTTTCTGCATTTTCATTTTTAGATATTTAAAGCAAACAGAGGGAATGTCATTTAATGTTTTTTCCAGCTCACAACTATCTGTGCATCGGTTTACCCATATGTAAAAGGCATTTAAAAATACCTGCCTCATAAGGGTATTATGACACTTAATATCTGTTGAGCCTTGAGATTTTGGGCAACTGTCATTATAACACAGCATTATTATTATTATTTTAAAAATTAAACGACGGCTTCAAATACCTGCAATAAAGGAATATTCTAACCAGAAAAGAAACCATTTTCCTCATCAATCCAGAGGTTTTCCCCAACCCACAATTCACAAGGTGGCATTCAAAGCACAATAAGGGTATTTCATAATGTTTAGGTATTCTGGACACTTATGGGTTGTTCATAAGATTATTTAGAAGAATTTAGTTCCTCATTTCTCATGAGCTCTAATTTCACTCATAAAAACAAATATTGAATTTTTTACAGCTCAGACTATTAATGCAGTACCAAAGCAAAATGAAAGCTAGCTTACTATTTCTGACATTATGCAAATACACTGCCACTATGGCAAATGTTATCAGTTTAGCAATACAGTGACTTGCCATAAGATGCCCAGAAATACAGATTTTGGTTAAAAATCCAATTATATATTAATTTTTATATAGTACCCAACAGTATGCTAGGCACTTTACAAACAGGTAAGACTGTCAGAGGAGCATAACTCCACCCCTCCTCCTTCCCCTCCCTGCCCTTGATACACCTTCTGTTCCCAGGTGAAGTAGCCAGTGGCTGGTGCAGGAGGCAGCTTCAGGCAGCTGTGCTCCATCTTCAAAGCAACCCCCACAGGGAATTCTCAGCTGGGGCCAGTTACAGCCAGAATCCAGTTCTCAACCTACCTCACCTCCACACCCTTAAAAAAAAAAAAAAAAAAAAA